GGAAACCCCCCCCCCCCCCCCCCCCGCCCCTCTCCCGAATGTGTTTTGGTTTTTCGTCATTGTTTCATCTGCATTTGGATGTGACGTGATCAGAGCCACAATGGCGCTTGATGGCTTTGTTTAGTATGCTCCGATGCCTCGCACCCATGCTTCGCACACTTTGCGTTGATGCCCTTGCGTTCCTCCGCCCCCCCTTTTTTGACAGCTGTTGGAAACGTACCCCTTTGAAGATGGCGCGACCGTGGGCGCAACCGTCTTTCCTCGCCAGCTCCTGTTCAGGTAGCCTTCCCTTGTGTTTGGTTGTGCCCGAGCCATCTTGCCCACCTTGGTGGGACAGGGGAAATTTGCGGGAGGGGTTTGTCGTGTTGCAACTGTTGGCCGTGGGTGAGCCCGCCCTGACCGCTCGATTGCCCGAAACGGCGTCATGGAGGGGGCGTGCGTGAAAAATTGGTTGCTTCTGTATTTGAGTGTGGCGGGGTGTGGGGAAGTTGGGCCGCGGCACAGTCATGCTCGGGTCGTATGCGCCGCGCGGCGGCGTCAAGCAGACGCACAGGTACATTTATCTGACATCGGCCGATTGTCTGACATTGTACCTTGGTTGGCTTGTCTGACATTTGCGCCGTAGCAATGCCGTGCCTCGATTGTACGCCGAGGTTCGGCACTACATTGATCTGAGCCACCAGTTTCTGGAGAACGTGGGCCTCTCGAGCACCGAGGTGGACGAGTTGTTGCGTCAATCGACCAACCACCTCTTCTCAAAGGTGTGCACGTTCGCTGCCTCTTGGCCCAGCTGGTGTTGTCGCCGACTGATTGGTGTGAACTCCATGGCCAGGTGTTGAGTAGCATCTTGATGAAGCTGGTCCGGTCGGCCGGTCTCAACGTTCAGCAGCTGACACAAATCTCGCTGAACACGACTCAGCTGGAGGTGCGATGCAGGGTTGGCGCCAATGATCTTCCGAGCGGATTGCCATGTCTGTCTCTCGCCCGCCGCTCAGACCATACGCCGCTTGTGGTGTCCCATAGCTGGCTTGCGAGAGCTTGGAACTGTACATTAGCCAATTGACGCGCTCCATCGGCAACGACGTGCACGGTACCCGCTTGCATGGTGCTGACACGCTCAAGGGTACGTCGGTGAAAAGGGTGTATTGTGTATTGTGTATGAGTGAAAGTGAATGGGGTGTGTGAGGTTGATTGGACAAAACGGCATATCTACCCTCATACGGATTCGACGGCGTGCACAATTGCGTCTTCTGGTTGTTCTGGGCTCAGATCCCCGCTCGGCGGCCGAAGATGGCATCTTTGCGTGCCTGCAAGGGCGCATTGACCAGTTTTTGGAGCTGGCGGAGTTTGATTGGGCACCATCGGCGCCCAAAACGACACCAAGTCCTCACATGTTTGAGCTGCTGGCTTATCTCACCACCACGTTTGCCGCCCTGCGCCACATGCCAACCGAAGTGGCTCGGGCTGCGTACTTTAACACTTGCAAATACATTGGCCAGCGCCTCATTTCTCAGGTCGAGGATCCTGAAATCAAAAAGGTGCGCGGGCTGATGACTAGGTGGAATCGCTTGAAGGCGTGCCGTGGAGCGGTCGCGCACGCCGTGCGCAACATGTCAGCGATGACTTCTCATTTCATTGGCCCTCTTTGATGGGGTATCGACGCGGCCAACTGCAGATCAATCTGAACGGGATCAAATCCTTTGAGGTGGACGTCGCCACGTGCGAGGAGTACGCCGACACCTGTCCTGTGATTGAGGCTGGGGATCAGCTGCTCAAGGGAGCCTTTGTCCAGCTGCGCGAATTGGTCGACGTGTTTCTCCGCAATGACTGGGACAAGTTTTGTGATCCTCTTATGCGCCGCAAGTATTATCCCCACTTGAAGACGGCCACCGCCATTACTTGGCTCGAAAAGTCAGTGCTGGTCTCGCACATCTGCTCTGGTCGCGGTGACCGGTGACTCAGACTGACGCATCTCACTGGGGCTGGCGCAGATTCGAAGACAAGGCGCAGTCAAGCATCTTTGGACGTCGCAGCGAGAAGAAGTCGCGCGAAGTGGAGGCCGTGCTACGCCAGCTCAAGGCTCAGTAGAGGGCGGGCAACACATGTTCATGTGCAAGCAAGATGCCGGGCTGCCGAGTGGCCAACGGCAATGGGGCGACACCGGCACACGTGAAAGCGTAAACCATCTAGAAAGATCCAGAGTGTGCCAGGTCGGCGCGAATTGAAGAAAACCGCGAGCGAGACTGATGGTAATGCCATCACGTCAGCATTCAAGCATGATGAGTTGCAACGAGCGGGCAGGACAAGCTGGCGGACGGAAAGCAGCGTGGAAGGGAAGAGGCTGAAGAGCAAGGCGCAACAGGCCCAGAAAGGTCGGGGCAAGGGTTTGAAGAAGAATGATCATGTCACACGAGCCAAGCGCGGGGGTCTGACGAACGGAGCATGAGGTGAAGAGGTGTTGGATGAGTGAGGAGGGCTTGGGGGGTTTGTCCTGGGCGGCCTGGCTGGACTGGCATATGGGACTTGATTAGGAAGAATAGGAAGCTTGGCCAGAGTGAGGTGGAGTCGCACGAAAAAAAAAAAAGCGAATGCCTTTTCTTCGACACCAAAGGGTGATGATGATGGTGATCGCGGGCGTGCGGTGGTTTGTTCACTCGCTACAAACCGATTTACGCTGCCTTTGCTGGATGATGCAAGGAATAGGCACAAAAGCGTGCATGTGACAAGACTAAAAGTGGCGATATCTGATAAGCAGCCTGTCATTCGATTCTGTTTGCAGTTGCTGTTGTGGTTGTGGTTGTGGTTGCGTGAGTGTGGTCGTGTGATTGCTTGATCTGCAAAACGAAAGCCATCAAGCTTTCAGGTTCATGCTTTGCGATAAGCAACAGGAGCCGATGGGTGCATATGTCGCCAGGCGCAGGCGCTGTGACTTCGTATGGCAGGAGCGGTTGCCGACGCGGGCAGCTTGATGTTAAAAAAAAAAACGTGTGTCATCGGGTGTCATGTCCCTCGTCATGGTTCGGTTGGATATCATGACGTATAATTTACAGCTGCAAGCATGCTCGAATCTCGGGACGATTGTGGGAGGTGGGGGGTTACCGACTGCGCAAGGGGGCATGGGGCGCAGCTGCGCGGCGAGCGCACAACATGATCCATCGTCCACGCGAATTGCTCTTTGTTTTTGATTTGCTTGCTTGGCGTGTTGGGCGTTTTGAATATTGATTATTATGATGATTACGTGTCGACGGAAAAGGCATCGCCTCCCCTCCCAAGAGGGTGAGCACATGGCCGAGCACGACGGCAGTACGCTCGCGTGCGCAGGCGACGGACGATCACACACACACGCACACAGACACACCAGCCAAAGGGTCGTGGGTTGATTGGAATACGTCAAGCAGTGCAAGGTCACGGCGCCAAGCTCTTGCTTCTGCGGCACGAATCCTACGTCACCGTGCCACTGGGACGCATTTGAGGGTCCAATGACACCATATGCATGCGCCTCTGGACAAGGGGATCAAGTCATGTTCGTGCGTGCGTGTCGCACCCATGATGTCCACATGTCAATCTTCAACCACATCCCTGCAATCCCTTACCACCCCCTTGCGACCATGGGGGGCGAGTGAGGACTGCTGCTAATTAAACGTCTGAAGGGGGTGAGTGGTTTGTCAGGGTCGCATCTTGCGAATCAAGCGCATGGGCGTTGAGGTTGCGCTTGTAATGTGAATAACAATGTCATTGTGGACCTATTGGACCAACGGTTTTGGGTTTGTGGGTTCGTGCGTGGGTTCGACTGCTGCTTTTACATCTGCAGCGCCACACACGATACCACTGGAGGGACACGAAGATTTCAGGACCCACAGACCCGTTCCCTAAGCGGCTTCACCCACGTCAATGTTCAGTTGTGCGTGCAGTGCACACCTACACCCCCACACCCCCTTGCCTTGATGATAGGTAGTCGCCGCAACACCAATCGTGGGTGCGCAACACCGGTGCACACTTTGCAAACCGCGTCAAACCCATGCACACGCTCTGTCCACCAAAGACATCCCACATGTGACACACACACACACTCACTTTGGCTCACTCAACAATCTCATCGCCCAAAGCCACACATACATCACCACCAGCACCACGGACACGAGCTACGGGTTCGGACATCTGCCACAAGCGCCCCATTTTTCTTTTCCTTTTTTTGGTTCATCACCCTGATCGTTCGTGTGTCTACGTGCGCAGCGTCTCTCTCTCTCTCTCTCGGCTCTCTCCGGCTCTCTTCGGCTCTCTTGTCTCGTCGTGTGAGCACACACGGCTCGCCGACACGCTCTCCCATCCCCCCACCCCCTTCTTTTTGGGGGTCACAGCTCGCTTGCTACTTTGGCCAGTCACAACATTGTGTTGGCTGGTTGAATGTCAATACGCTCGCTCGTGTCTTCCAAAGTGGCCGTGGGTCACACGCCTCCTGCTTTTCTGATTCCCCCCACACCGAGTTGCGGTGCCACGTTTCGGCAGCCCGCGCTGTCACAAGACTCGTCTTCCCCCCTCCCCCCTGCCCCTGCTTGTGTGCGGTCTCACCACCCCTTGTCTTGTCGTGATCAAGTGACGCCGCCGGCCTGCGCCATTTACTCTTGTTGTACAAAGGCAGTGAGTGGCCTTTGCCTTTGACAGCTTGCTACGTGCATTCGCTTTTGCTCGTCGCGTGGGCGCGCTTCTCCGCTGCTCTGATAGCACTAGAGCGTTCAGACCAGACCGTAGCTGAACTTACTCAAGTCATCTGACCACCCGACTACGCTCTGGCACCGGGGGAAACGAGCTTCTTCCTTCTCCCCCCTCCCCCCCCCGGCTTTCGCTGCACGACCGGCCATTTCCGGCTTTGCTCAAGACTTCCCTTAACCCCTTCCTGCCGGCCGGCCGTGTCGTCTTGCAAGTTACGCAGCGCGTTCAGCCATGGCCATCAACTCGGCCGTCGCCAAAAGCTTCATGGAAGCATTGGAAATGGACCTCGAGGACGTGGCCTCGTACGCCACTTGCATCGCGCTTGCCTTTTGCTCCATCGACTCGGCCCTCGATCGTGGCCTCTCCACCAAGGAAATCTACAATTACATGGCCAAGCAGACACCCAGCTTTGTGAATCATCATCCAAAGTGGAAGTCGGGCGTGCGACACTGCCTGTCCTCCAACAAGGCCTTTGAACGCAAGCCCACTCTCTACGGCACCCTGACGCACACCTGGCTCATGCGCGCCGAATGTCTTCCCGCTGCTACCCGCCGCCATCTTCGCCATCTCAAGTCCATGTCCGATCTCAAGCGCGAAACAGCCGCCGCCAGTGCCGCCCTCAAAAATCAACAGTTTTCGCCCTCCCTTCCTCAACAAGGGCAGCAACACCAACAGCCGCCACACCAGCAACGCCACACCCTTCCCAGCCATCACCCACAACAGGCATCCCAGCCCTCAATCGCTTTGATGAAACACGCCCTACCCTCCAACACGAGCAGTCCCCGCGAATCTCCCGCCACCCGCTCCGTCAACACCAACAGCTCCCTCACCGACTCGGCCGACTATCAGGCCGCTCAACTCATTCACGCTCTCAAGGAGAGCAGTGGCGATCGCTCCAACGCGTCCGACATGGGTGCGTTGACCAAGGACTCCCTGGCCTCGGCCCCTGGTCTCACCAACGGGACCACGGCCAGCCCCTCGCTGCGCGCCAACCCTCCACAACCCGCCGTTCAACAAAAGCTCTCATCCGTCGCCTCCAACATGGGCATGAACAATTTTCCCTTTCACATGCCCCCGATGTGGATGAACCCCATGCACATGATGCCTGGTGCCGTCAGCACCACCATGCCCACGCCCCAACATTCCCAGCCCGGCATGAATCCTGCCGCTGCCATGATGGGCAACAACCCAGCCCTCCCACCATGGCAACAACTCCTCAACATGATGGCCAGCGGTGCCATGGCCCCCTCCATGGAGTTGCCCAACTCGGCCGCGCCGATGATGATGCCCAACAACATGCACCCGTCCATGCTGATGATGCAGCAGATGGGACAACATCAGTCTTGAGTTTGAGTTCCTCGAGCCTGCCTCTCTTCGATTCAGTAGCCATGACTGCTATTTGTGCCGTCGCCGCCGCCGCCACCGCTGCTCTTGTTGCGCAACATAACATGTGTGTGCTTGCGCGTCACCTGGCAGCCCAATGGGTGCCAGCCCCTTGACAGCCTTTGAGAGAGTCATCGGAACTCGGGATCCTCGATCACTCAACCCGCTGGCAAGCCATGACTTGTACCTTCTTTTATTTGGGGTTTATCTTCTTCCTCTCGTGATGCCGTCACTGTGGCCTTTGAGCTGGCTTTTGATGTCTTCATTTCCTAACCCAGTGACTTGTGATTCATGGCGTCTTTCCGTGTTTTTTTTTTCTTTTTTTTTTCGAGTTGTGCTCCTTCTTCCTTCCCACGACTGCACGACTTTGTGTGCGAGTGTCGCAACAATGTATGCAGCATCCCTTCGTGGCGGGCGGTGTGGCACCGTACAGACGTGAGCTCGAACGGGACCTTTGATGCATATGGCTTCCAAGTGAAGATGCATGATTGTTGCATTGCCTCTTTTCGAGTTTTCCCTCCTGCTCAGTGGGCTCGGGGTGTGTGTTTCAAGTGGTGTTGATGTTGATGGGCGCTGTTCATTGCTATTTGACCTTGTCTACTGACATGTGATTGTCTTACTGCTTCCTTTTGAGTTTTGGTCTGCATGTTTTTAGTTTGGCTTTATCTAGTTGTGCCAGTGTGTGCCTTGATGTTGTTGCTGTTGTTGTTGTTCTACCGTCCGCCTGTAACGTCTCGGTATTATCCCATCTCTTCTCTTGTTTCTGATTGCCAGTCGCTTGTTGTTTCCATCTTTATAGTCCCGGTACTGGGTTTGCCGTCAGCCCTCGAAAATTGACAGCTGCCTTTTGACGCCTGTTGGTGCCAGCTTCTGCACGAGCAAATTGTGGAATTCGGGGAGCAAGGGTCATGATGTGGGATCTGCACCAGCAGTGTCGCGCCGTGGGTTTCGTGCGCTGCGTTGTAGGCTCTGCACTGCTGGTACCCGAGCTCAGGCGCCAGACCTGCGTGTGTTTAATTTTAATTTGAGTGCGCAAACGGGTTGTTCTTGTTCATTGTGAGCAAGATCAACTCGCACAGATGGGATTGTGGCACTCAACATTGCGAGGCGCAGCGCCCTATGGGGCTCAGGTCATAGTCATGGTCATGGTTCCGGAGCCAATTTTGACAGGAAGTGAGGGGATGTCCGCCACTGGCCGTGTTTTTTCCCAGACCAAACAAAAGCCGCCGCGGGTGGGTCGGTCACGCAAGGCATAAAGGGGGAGATGGCGAGAGGGCCCCAGATTTGAGTCAGACCAGGAGGACGGGTCAATCCATCGGTCGTAGGCCCCTTCGGAAGGATCACACATCCCGTGTACACGACGCGCCGAGGGGTCGATAGTTCGGATCGGGCAAGACACTCGCAAGTTCGCGACCATGCCACATCTCACCCCGAAGAAGTCTGCCGGTAGGAAAGGCGCACATGGCACGAGTCCACACACTTGTCATGTGAGCACACGTTTGGTATGGGTGGGTGGTTTGGGTGATGTAAAACCTTTCGCGACACGTCTTTCCGACACTTGGCGGTCTGGCTCGTCTCCCTGGGTTGTTTCCGGTCTGCCCTATGCCTTTGTTTGCCTACGCCGGCCATTTTCACATGCCAGCCGCAACCAGACCCTGCGAGCCTAACATCAGGTCATCAACACAGAGCCGCAGCATCAAGCCGAGCGCGCGCACGGGGGGGGGGGGGGGGCTCAATGGCAGCTGGTGGCAGCTGCCCTTTTCTGTATCACTTAATCACAAAGAGTTTGTCATCGTGTTCAAAGTTTTTTTTTTTTGCTTTCTGGTGGGATGAGGACATGGTTTGGGGATTGTATGGGGCGCTGGGGATGTGGTGTGGGTTAGGGGGAGCCACTGGTCTCGCGGCGTCGTGATGACGCTTTTTTGAAATTAGAACCACGCATCTTCTCGGGAGACCAGGAGACTGAGAAATCCCTGTGCAGACTGGTGAGGATTCTTGAGACAAGGAGACTGGCGCAGACTGGTTGAGACAAGGAGACTGGCGCACACCACGACGCGATAGAGGGTACGCCCAGACATCAGCCAGAGACAAGAGACTGAGCTATCCTCTTGTATAGAATGCAGAGACACCTTTGAAATGTTAGAATTAGGTATAACCATTCCGAAGGCGTTTTCAGAGAATGTATTGTAACTTGGATGTCCTTCAGAGGGAGGGTCGAAACAGGACCCAAGTACCAGAGAGACGCAGTGCCTCCTGGACCCCATTTTTCCATCAACAGGTATCGCCTTTGAGCCGCGCGATGGCAGCGACAGCGACAGACGGCGATCTCCGCCTGAATGCAACGCCAGCAGGCGCTGCCATATAGCATTCATACGCATGTGATCTTTGGGAGAATACAGCTTGAACGTCCTGTGTCACTTGCCGATGTCGGGTGGCGGGATCAGTAGCAAGGAAACAGCAACCACTTCCCACACTGCCATTGCCATGTGCTTCCTTGTGTGTGTGTGCGTTTGTGTGTGTTCTTTCCTCTTGCCTCTTGCCTCTCTCCGGCTCTTTGCTTGATCTTGCAATGCAAGCTCGGTGTGCCATCACAGACAGGGCAGACAGAGACGTACAAACACGGACCCCAGATGCTCGAGCCGCCGCGTTCGTGGTCGCGGTCGCGTTTGCACATGTTATTTGACTTTTTGAGTTTTTTCAAAAGACTCACGTCGATCACAAACTTGTGGGATTAGGTGTGCCGTCTCCGCCAAGGACCCGAGCGCCCTGTCCGATTAGACCACGACTGATACCACTCTACGTAGTGACACTGCCATCATGGCTGCCGTCGCATCTGCCAAGGTCCGTGCAGCGGGCCTTCTGTTGACTTTACTGTCCCGCTATAAGCCCTGGCGATCCGAATCCTGATCCATCTCCGAATCCTCCATCGCCTCGAATCCTCTTGTTGCCTTAGGGAGCGCCCGCCGCAGCAGGTTGGATTGCTTCTGGTTCTCACGCCTCTCGCCCTTCTTGGTCTCTCTACCATTTGGGCACCTCGCGTGTGGGAGTCTGGCTCGAAACGACAAAACCTCATCTCGTCCTGTCACCCTCCGCCCTCCTCTTTACTTGTAAATCTTTTAGGCAAGGGCACCGAAAAGCCCTCAACCAACGGAATCAAGACGTCTGAGCCCGTGAGCATCGACACCATCAACGCCAACGACACTTCTAGCATCCATGGCCTCTCCGCCAAGGCCCCGGGCAAAGACGTTGGCCCTCGCCCCACGTATGTTCAAACTTCAACTGCAACATGCAGCCCGATCCGCAGCTTGCAGCACATAGGGAAAAAAAAAAAAAGAGAGAGAAAATCCATAGAGGCTGGCACAGTAGTTTGGAAAGCGCACACAGAGGACAGTTAAGGCAACACAGATGAAAGGTGTCAATGTTCAATCAATCTGACTGCTGATTCGCAACTCTCCAGTGTGGCTGAGGTGTTTGAGAATCTAGAGTACGGCCCGGCGCCCGAGGATGCCAAGGGTGCCTACGCCTGGTTGGACGCCCACAACCGCAAGTTTGGCCACTTCATCAACAATAAGGTGTGTCTGTTTTGTCAATTCCCGGTGCCTGCGACCTCCTTTTTCAGCACTTACGCATTGATCGATTGATCGATCGTTTCCGTACCCAGTGGGTCCAGCCCGAGAGCCGCCAATACCACAAGAGCACCAGCCCTGCCCGTGGTGATGTGTTGGCCGAGACCATTCAAGGCACGCAGGAAGACGTTGATATGGCTGTCAAGGCCGCCAAGACCGCCCACACCACTTGGGGAAGCCTGCCTGCCCATGTCCGTGCCCGCCACATCTACAGCATTGCCCGTCACGTTCAGAAGCACCACCGCCTCATCGCCGTCATTGAGAGCCTGGACAATGGCAAGGCCGTCCGCGAGACCCGCGATGCTGATCATGCCGTCGTGACACGCTGGCTCTACCACTATGCCGGCTGGGCCCAACTCCTTGAAACAGAGCTCCCCCAGTGGACCTCCTGCGGTGTCGTTGCTGGCATTGTGGCCTGGAACTTTCCTCTCATGCTCCTCGTTTGGAAGGTAGGCGCGCATCGATGGCGTTTCGAAGAGTTGACGGCTGTTTGTGGCATGAGGAAGCATGTCTTTTTTTTTTTTTTTTTTCGTTTTCTTTTTTAAAATTTGACGTCATGTTTCCTCACCTTCTGAGTATCTACCGCCAAACATCACACCCAGTACCTGCACTGCGTCATCCGTCTTCTGATTCCTTGCTCGCACCTTGATGTCCCCCCCGCTCAGGTGGCACCTGCCCTGGCAGCTGGTAACACCATCGTCATGAAGCCTGCCACCAACACGCGCCTGTCGGCCCTGCTCTTCGCCGAGATCTGTGCCGAAGCCGGCTTACCTCCGGGTGTTTTCAATGTGCTGACTGGCGGCGGCCGCATGGGCTCACAAATGGCTGAGCATGTGGATGTGGACAAGGTGGGGGCCAAGTCTTGAAGGCTTAAACTGTTGCGTTTCATACCTTTGTGCCCTCAATTTCACAATACCCCTACTCTCTCTTGGATGCCTCGACAGGTTGGCTTCACGGGCAGCACCGACATTGGTCGTCTGCTTCGTCGCTCCACTGCTGGAACTGGCAAGAAGATCTCCTTGGAGCTGGGTGGCAAGTCACCTATTGTCGTCTTTGACGACGCGGATCTTGACTCTACCGTTGAGGGCGTTGTCGATGCCATCTGGTTCAACCAGGGCCAGGTCTGCAGTGCCGGCTCCCGCATTCTCGTGCAGGAGACCGTCTATGAGGAATTTGTCCGTCGCGTGAAGGCCCGCATGCAGCACCTTCGCCTGGGCGATTCCCTCGACAAGTGCATTGACATGGGTGCCGTTGTCGACGAGAAACAGCGTGATAGCATCGCGGCCTACGTTGAGATTGCTCGCCAAGAGGGCTGCGAGGTCTACCAGGCTGCGGCGTGCATGCCTGCCACCGGCTGCTTCTACCCCCCTACTCTCATCACCAACGTTGACCAAGCCTCGCGCGTGGTGCAGGAGGAGATCTTCGGTCCCGTTGTGACGGCTCAGGCCTTCCGCACTGCCAAGGAGGCAGTCGCACTGGCCAACAACACCAGCTTTGGCCTGGGTGCCAGCGTGTGGACCGAAAACCTCTCCATGGCTCTGGAGGTGGCTATCATGATCAAGGCGGGCACCGTCTGGATCAATGGTCACAACATGTTTGATGCCGCGGCCGGTTTTGGCGGGTTCCGTGAGTCTGGCTTTGGTCGCGATGGCGGCAAAGAAGGTCTCATGGAGTACCTCAAGCCCAAGTGGCAAAAGCGCGTGCGCCATGAGGTTGGTGCCCAGCTTTGCTCGCACTCGCCCCTCTAAAGCACCAAGGCTTCTGTGTTTTACACAAGCACGTGCACCTGGTCTACCCGACCATGCATGTCCTTTCGCTCTTACTCATGCTCTGCCCTGCCCTGCCTCGTTTTGCTGAGATTAGAATCTCGACATCTCCAATTTTGGCTCGAGCGACTACCCCGTGCCGACCTTGCCTACATCGGCAAGCAGCGCGGAAAAGCCTCTCGTCGATCGCACCTACAAGATGTACTATGGTGGTGCTCAAAAGCGCCCCGATGCTCCCTACGCTCGCCCCATCCTGAATACCAAGCAGGAGCTTGTCGCCCACGTTCGTCAGCCCCACCCCTATTTTGTTTTTTTCTTCCATTCCAATACAAGCGCGCATCGCACTCACATTGCTCTCTTCTTTCTTTGCCTCGCTGGTATTAATTGCAGGTGGGCGAGGGCAACCGCAAGGACGTACGTAATGCCGTGGAGGCAGCGCACAAAGCCTTTGGCGGCTGGAGCAAGCGTGCAGCCCACAATCGTGCCCAGATTGTCTACTACATGGCTGAGAACCTCGAAGTTCGCCGCTCTGAGCTGGCCGGTCGCCTGGCCGACATCACCGGTTGCAGCCTGGACGACGCCTTGAACGAAGTCGACCTCTCCGTGGAGCGCCTCTTTTATTGGGGCGCCTATGCCGACAAGTACGGTGGTACCGTGCAGGAAACCACCCTATACGGCGCCACCGTCAAGATCCACGAGCCCGTTGGTACGCTCACCAACCTGCTGGTCCGGGGCGTCGGCTAAGCCGTTGCCCCCTTCTTTTTCCTCCTTTTGAGTTTTCTCTTTTCTTTGATGCCTTCGACTCATTCCACTTTTTCGTTTGTACTTTGAATGATGCCTGATTTTGGCTGTCAGGCCCCCTTGGTGTTTTGTGCCCCGATGAACGACCCCTTCTGGCTTTTGTGTCCCTCTTTGCGCCCGCCATTGTTCGCGGCAACACCATTGTCATTGTGCCCTCCGAGCGCTGCCCTGTTTTGGCCCTCGACTTTTACCAGGTTTGTCGTCGTCATGGTAGCCGTGCGACCCCCAAAAGTGTGCCTCGACTTTGCATGTTGTTGCCTTCTCAAGGCCACATCAGCCAACCGGTGTTTCTCACTGTGTGTATTGTGTTTTTTTTTTTTTTTTTTTTTTTTTCCCTTGCCTATCCTTTCCATTCAAAGGTCTTTGACACCTCGGACCTGCCGGCTGGCGTCGTTAACATCTTGACTGGCAACCGCGAGCACCTTGCCAAGTACATGTCGGAGCATCATGTGCGTTGCGTTGGCCTAAATTTCCCGTTTAAAGGCACCTGCCTCTTGTGTGCCATGCGGGTACTTGGGCTCACGGTCTCTGACTGACGTGCTTATCTTGTGTGCTAGGATCTCGAGGCGGTCTGGTACTTTGGTTCGGCTGTGGGCAGCAAATACGTCGAGACGGCTGGTACGATTGCTCGCTCCTGGGGTGGGGGTTGGTTGGTTGTTAACAAGGCACGACGCTCACTTCGCCTCATCCGTGGGTCACCCCCGCACAGCTGCCGAAAACATCAAGCGCACCTGGGTCAACTATGGCCAATCGCGCGACTGGGCTGACCCTGTGCAGGTACGACGGCAGTATCTGGCTTGTTGACATGATAATTGGCCTAGACTGGTCGAGACTGATGCCACCGTTGTCTCGCGTAGGGTGCTGGCGAGGAGTTTTTGTACAATGCCGTCGAGTGCAAGAACATCTGGATGCCCATGGGTACCATCTTTGCCAACTAAGGCGTTCCGTTCCGTTTTTGGTCGTGACTGCCTTGTTCCCTTGGCTTCAGGCCTGCAGTTGTTCTCGCTCGCTCGTCTCGCGCGTGCCTGGCCTTTCGTCTGGTGCTGGATGACATTGTGCTGCGGTTGCGTTGCTTTATCATCGGGGTGTTTTGGTCGTCGTATTGTTTTGGGGAGTGTTGTGTTCTTGACTCGCGGTGGTTCGTGCCCGGCGCTGTCCATGCCGTAGGTCGGACGCCGCGCGCCAAGGCCCAACAATAAATGACCATATACTACACGAACCGAACCGAACCGAACCGAAACCTTGGCTTTGTTTCTGCCCCTGCCCATGTGCAAGCTGACGAGCTTGTCCATCCGTTTGTACCACGATCCCCGAGCGAACCATGGCATGCAGGGACGAGCGGCGAGGCTGCAGCGTCCTGATTTTGTTTTTTCTTTCGTTTGCGACCATGTGTAGCCCAATTGACACCGCAAACAAAGTTAGTGAAATAGAGTGATTCGAATATGAATTAGGCTGTCCGCTTGACCTCTGTTGCCGCTCACAGGTCCGCCCTGCGGGTAGACTGTGACGCGGCCCACTTTGTCTCAAATAGCTTGCAATGGCATGTGAATGGTATGCAGTCCGTGTATAGGCCTCTCGAAAAAAAAAGGGGTTTGGGGCAGGGTTTATGCTGCACCATTGCCTTCGGCATCAACCACCACGCCTTGAAGCAGAAGGTTTGTGTTGTCCAAGGCTCGGGCCAAGCTATCGTAGGCACCGAGCGCTGTCATGTCACCAATGGCTCTTTCATTCAGACCACCCTGAGAAACAGATGAAGACGCAAATGAGACTTGCGACGGGTCACGGAAGACATGCAAAATCCATCGCCGGGCGAAGATTAAGGGGAAGCGAGCGAGAAATGAAATCCTACCGGGGTCTGCTCATTGACAAGTTCTTGGAAGAGGTGGCTGATGTCTTCGCCTTCGGCCCGCATTTGTCGTTGTCGCAGGCGGGCGTCGTCACAGATGCTTGAGTAGAATTCGGAGACGAAGGTGACGGCCGCTTCGCTGGGAACGCCTAAGGTGCGCGCAGGTGAATGAGTTGCCGAGCAAATGAAGGCACGGGCCGCTTTTGAGTTGGTGGTTTGGGCGAGGGCAACAAACCGTGGGCTTCACACCAGCGCTGCGCCGCGAGCATTTGAGCGTAAGCAGGCCCCATGAGGGATGTGATGGCCTGGAGACCGCGCAGCTGTTCTGGATTGCTGACGGGGATGGCCACGCCCACAAGATCGAAGAGCTCGTGCACGAGGGGGTGACGGGGTGCATAAATTGTGGCACCCCGCTGATACGCAATGGGTGGGAGCGGCACGGCTCGCACAACGCGGCTGACGTCAGCCTTCATCCAGTCGGCCAGGTCCGGGGAGGGAATGGTGGCCATAAAGGTCAACAGCAGTTGCTCCGCGTGTGCTTTGAGGGGTGAGAGGACCGTCTTCGCATCTGGGGTGCGCACAGCCAGCACCAACACTTCGCAGGCATCAACCACGTCCTGGTTGTCATCACATACGCGCACCTAAAGCAGAGGTCACGGCAGACCAGGAGCGCACCAGTGAGGCAGCGGGCGTCAGCTGGACGGCGGACATGGCGGCCAGGGTGCAGTTGATCCAAGACCTGGTCGGGGTAGGCTTCCAGCAAGGCCTGGCTGTTGCGCTCGCTGCGGCGGGACACGACGAAATGGAACTGCGCGCTGCGCCGCGACTGCAGCAGGCCACGAACAAAGGCTGAATTGATCATGATTGGTGCCCGATGCAAGTGGTGGTGGTACGGTAAGCGGCATGACAAGCGGCATGAGAGCTTGGTGGGTGGCGAACCAGACGAATACCGACTAGATCTCGGTACAGCTCGACTCACCAGTGGCAATCGTGCCAAGTCCAATGACGCCGATGGAAATGGCAGCTTTGGCATCACCGCCAGCAGCAATGGTGGCCTCGATGGCCGAGGTCGTTGGGTTCTTGGCAGCAGCGTCCATGATGAAGCTGTGCCTTGGTGTCAGTGATTCTAAAGCGGTAGAGCAGGGCCAAGTCATGCATCGGCGGCATCATCCAAGAGGCCACTGGCCCAAACGCCACCCAGGAGAGGCCACGCCACAGGGCATGGCCACGCCCTGTGAGGAGGCATCACACGCATAGCCTGCGACCGACCACAGACGTACATTGGAAAGGGGGCTGGCAGCGTTTCGTGTACACGCGGTGGTAAAATCGAAGCGTCTGCCAACAAGTCGCGCGTACATGCATGAGCTCTGGGCATCTGACCTCTTTTCTTCCCAAGCCCATCTGGCAGCCGCACGATCCATCATCATCCCCTCGGACACGGAGCAAGCAAAGCAAAGCCCCCTCCGCCCCTCGGTACCGCAGCGCACAGACCACACACATTGGCAATGGCAAGAGAGAGAGAAGAAAAATGCAAACTTGTGCTTTCGTCTCTGTCTCTGTCTCTGTCTCTCTCTCTCTCTGTCTCTGTCTCTGTCTCTCTCTCTGTCTCTGTCTCTGTCTCTGTCTTGTCTCTGTCTCTGTCTCTGTCTCTGTCTCTGTCTCTACATGTATTTCTCTCTCTCTCTCTTCGCTCTCCCTCTCTCCCCTGTGCCGTCACGTGCTGACAAAAAGGCAAAAGTATGACAAACGATCGCACACCTCCTTCAAATCCTTCAAATCGCAGAAGGAGCCACTTGCAAATGTGTCAACATCCCCCCTGTCCTTCTTCTGCCTTCCTCCTTCTGCCTTCCTCCTGCCTCCTGCCTCCTTCCGCCTCCTTCCGCCTCCTCCTGCTACCTCCTGATTATCCTTGCTTACCTTGTCCCCCTGGCCCTGCGCTCAGCTCTGGCTGGTTCTACGATGCTTGACGCCCCATGTGTAACTAACTGCTTATCCATCTCCCCTTCTCGTCGTCCAGTGTCCAATGGGGGCAAGAGCATGTTATAATGATGACACTGTACTGCGAGTTGTTGCAGAAGAGAACGGTCTTTGTGTACCACGCCAACGCCAGCAGACGCAGAAAGCGTGAGAGAACAAGACGAAGAAGTGACGGTTGAAGGGTGAACCTGCAATTGGTCACTTTATCACTTTAAACGGTCAAATTCCAATTTTGAGCTTCGAGGACAATCAAACTATGGGAGAACAGGACTACGGGGACAACAAGTGGACAGCCCACAGGGCATCAAACAGGAAACAGGCTAGCTGAGGCAAGCACTGGATCGGGCGGCTTGAACGCCGTGTCGCAACGGGCAAGGGTCACGAGTATGGACACGAGAAAACAGCGGCGAGGGCCGGATATAGAATAGTTGACTCAATACATGGCGCAAAGTGCCCCGCCTGCGCGTCTGAACTCAACCCCGGGGCTAGAAAGGAAGGGGCGCGTCGTCCTCCTCATCACCAGTCTCAGTTATAGAGGCAGCGCTGGGATCAAAAGGTGCCCGCCCTTGGCCCACAGAGCCTTGGCCCCCGCCTGCACTGATTTGTGATGCTTCTAGAGATGGATCGGGCCAGGCATTCACGCGTGGTCCAGATGTAAGCGCTGTCCTCAACTCAAGGCACGAAATGAGCAAGGCTGGGCCACTGACTCACCGAGCGCCCAGGTGCTACCGAGGCTACTGTCCAGAGTCACGGCGTCCATGTTGTGCACAACCCCACCCTCGTCATGCTCCAAATCAAAGGCTGCATCATCACCCTCCACGCCACTCGCCACTTCCAGAAGCTGGTAATGACGCCGTCTCAACTGCATGAAATGATAGGTCACCACGCCGACTGCCGCCACGACCAGCAGTAGCCCGACCACCAAACCCGCCACGAGCTTGTCCCTGCGTAGCGGTTACGATGTCCCACATTAGGCTAGCCCGGCACGACGCACGCCGTCGTCGCCACCGCTAATCTTTGGACAAGACCTACTTGGACTTGGAGTGTGCAGATTGTCCGGCCCGGGTTGTGGTGGCATCAGCTGCATACTCCACCGACAATAGCGTGCCTAGTGTAGACTGCCCACTACATAACATTGGCGGCGAAAATACATGAGTCATGGCGCTCTTTGTGGGCTCCCGCGTGCGTGCAGGCGTGCGTTGCTGCCAGTGGGATTCCGATTCACACGTAATCCAACCTGGCCAAATGCTGCTTCAGCTCGGAAATGGTTTGGTCTGCGTTCGAGGTAACCAGCGTGACTGCGGCCTTGGTCACCTCAAGATAGGCGACCTCAATGTTGTCTGCAGACACTCCCGTGAGCAAAGCAGCCAACTCCACCGGAAACCGCTCCAACTCCTGGAGACCGATGGTTTCCTACAGCGATTGTGCCCAAGTTGGAGGACCCGTGAGGTGCTTGATGACCCAAAGACCAGGCCTGCCAAGTCACCCCGCCCAGCTCCCGCTTCGCCACACACCTTGACCGCAAGGTAGATGACCAGCTGGACCTGATCCACGCCATGGTCAAGCGGCGGGATATCCGGGTTGCACTCGATGGTTACTGACGGTGCCAAAACAACACACAGTGCCGCCGGGGCATACTCTTGCAGCCTGCCAGCAGTGTCCCCCAGATGCAGGGCGCGGCGGAAAGGGGTCAGGTGACTTTCAGCCGCACAGACATTGCAGGCCCCAGCACACTCACCGTGCACCATTGATGCAAATGCCCTTGTTAATAATATACACATCTTCTGAATCCAACCGACATTCTGGGCAAGCATAGACCGAGGTCCAGTTCTACCCCATACACCCAGAGCAGATCAGCTCAGATCCGTGTGTGCGATTTGATCCCACACAACAATATATCAATGTCTCGAAACTTACGACGGCGTAGGTAAATCGCCCAATGTACACCCGGCCACTTTCAGCGGCGGCCACGGGCGATCCCCGCCCACTGGCGGGGTCACACATGAGATTGATGATGCTTTTGCGCGAAAAGGTCGGCTACCCGATACATGAGTTTACACAAGCACACCGAGCAACAATGCCACCACGCCACCGCTGGATGAGAAAAGGCACTACAAACACACGCACGCAAGCGTGCTGCAGGTAGAGTCCCACAAACCATCTCACCCCCCCGGCCCCCCCCAAGTCTTACCGTAACTTGTGTGGTCAATGTCAAGCGAGTGACACCCTGAGCCTCCTCTTGAAAACCAAGCGTTTCGCCGATGCTAAAGGAACTTGAGTAGCCGCGGTAGCATGCCATGGAAGGCAAGGACTTGTTCTGTGCCACGCCAGAGAGTGCTTTGTAAACAAACGGCGCAACACTTTTTCAATCGCGCGCGCGCGATGGCCGTGGTCGTGATCCGTACTGTATCGGGATCGACGCAGGCATCATTTTGATGCGTGGTGTAGCAGGGGTTGAACATGTACAGAACGGGATAAGATACACTGCTGAAATCAGCCGCAATAGTCATCATCGGGCCGTTGGGGTCTCCTAGCCTGCAGCAGTAGTCGTCATTGATCAGCAAGCCCAGCGCCCATGGGAAGTGCTCGTACAGAGGGAGGTGGGGGCGTACAACGGCGAGTGGGTTACAAACTTGGAGAGGTCGTAGTGGGCTCCAGACACACTGCCCGTGAACTGGCACTGGTGAAGGTCGCAGCCGGTGTGATCTGCAAGAGCGGTAGTACCGGCACCACACGGTCGGCACTGGCAGCACGGTGCATGGTCAGTGTGCTGCCCACGCTTGCGTGTCAGATGAGTCTGCAAACGCGGCCAACCTACAATGCTGCCGGCACTCGGGTTGAAGGAGTTGCCGGTACAGGGTTGACAACGATCACTTGGAGGGAACGTGCTCTCCGAGCCTGATATTAACAAGATGCATCCAGCATCAGGTTGTTGATACATACAACTGCATTGACATGAAAGCTCAAAAGCAGGTTGGCGCCACGTCAATCATCGTACCTGCAGGGCAGGCAGCACAGGTCCCGTTGACCAGGTGCTGACCCATTGGGCACGGCTCACACTCGTCAGCGCCGCCCGAAACAGTATTATCAACTGTGAGGCCATACAGCCGAGCCTCCATTATGGAGTCGGCACTGGTATCGGCTTGGTAGAACTGGGTCCAGCGTACATATGCCCCCAAGAGTGAATGATGAGCATACATGCCGGATACAAGCTGCGTTGATCGTGTCAGTCAGCAGGCAAACCCACCCGAAAGGAGATGTCAATGTTCTGAGCGGGAATATCCAGTTGATAGTTGCTCCAGTACACATATGAACTAGTAGGGGAGTAGCTCGTCGAGCAATTGGTCTGGCCACACACGCACGCACAGAAGTTGAGCTTGCTACGACTCGAACCGCGGTCCGCAGAAAACGTGCGACTACCTGATGCAACACATTTGTATCGTTCGAAATGATCATTTCCATGAAGCAGTCCTTGGTGGGGGCGCGCGCCGACTGATCTCGCTGCGCCCACGGGTTCCGATGACAGCGTGGGCGTTGGTGAGGAGAAAAGCTTTAGATGTATGCACAAGCAAAAGGTTCGGCAGCAAATTGTTCATACAAACCTCGAGGCGGCAATCTACTTTACAGGCCCAACGGATCACGGGCTCTGTATTCACGGCAATATCGGGGAAAAGCAGCGTGGTTTCCATCTCTCCAAGTGATCGTCCACTTGAGATGTAGTCGCCACGGGGCCGCCAGCCTGGCCAAGGAAGACTGGTGTGAGCAAGAAGGGTCTCGCAATAACAATACATGGCTACATGACTCGAAAATCCTCGGGGCATTCGGGTCACACACCATTCTCCTCCGGAGCGCAATCGCCCTGACAGCTCGTGCAAAAGACGTTGCCGGAAGGGCATGTGTTGTTGGGGAGCATGCGCACCGGCTCATCCCGCCACGGCCCAAACTCGAGCGAGGGTTGCTAGCGAGCACGATTCGAAATGAATGATGACGGTGTACATGCAAGTTGAGAAAAACAACCCACGCCTCGTGAAGTCACGGGTGGTGCTCCATTGTCCTTGCAAGAAGTGGTGACAAGCGAAACTGACTGCTTTCTGCGCTGAAGAGCACGCCATACATGACTGCATTGATGCATTTTTGAAAGAGCCCATTGGGCAGGGCACGCAGGCCGGGTGTGCGCCCGTGGTGTCAAGCTCGTGGCCATCTGGACAGGTGCATGGTCGTGAAAAGTTGAGGCTGGCCGGCAAGGAAACGGCATCCTGCGCGTTGGGGTTGCAAAGTACTCTAACAAAAGAGCCCGGATAAAGCAAGGCAGGTAGAGAGCAAAGGAAAGTTGGTTAAGCGCGGATGCGCGGCATTTGGCTATTGTTGTGCGAGCGCACAAGTGAGGGTTGAGGCAGGCACACCTGGACACGCCATTCAGAGATATGGCCTCAAAGAAAGATCGATTTGCGTGCCAGTAAACTCCGTCGTGCTGCCGTCCCGCCAAGTTTGCGGGTGTGCAGGAGTGATATAAACTGAGAAGCAGATACTGTGCTGGTTAGCGCCCAAGGGTACCAAAGACCTACCAACATGCATTGCGATACGGGTGATTCGATCGTCACCACATCTTCCTCAGTGCAGGGCGGCAAATCTTGGCAAGAAGACTGGGCCTCTTGAGCGATGGTATCGTCGGAGCATGCGTCGCAGCTAAGGAGTGGGCAAACAACGGCGTTAACGAATGAATGAGGTTTTAGAACTGGTGGAATGCATTGGGCTGGATATGCGCACAAAACGCACGAAGTAGCCCCCTGGGCTGATGCATAGGTAAACCATGGGCAGGCATGGCAATGGGCAGCACCAGTGGTGTTGCTGAAGTGACCACTGGGGCATGGGAGACACTGATCGTTGAAACGCTGCGGTGGTACACCAAAGCACGTGACCGTGAGATGAGGCTTCACGATTGCGAGAAAGTGCCGCCATGTATGCTTGGCCGTGGAAGCCGATAGCAGAGCGTTGCAGAGGCAATCAAAGAAGCTAACCTGGTCTGATACGCCGTTGACTACGGTCAGGTAGCGAAGGTAGGCCCGATCGGTAGCATCGCTCTTGTACAGGCCTTTGTGGTACACAAAGCGAAGCTCAACAGATTCTAAAGGCAGCAAATTCTTTAGCGGCTCGAGCGTGCGGCAAGACCCAAGCTCTGTGCGTGGCGATGTACCTCGAGTCAAGAGCTGTTGAACGTCCGGGCGCTCGGTGGAATCAAACGTCACGTAGCCCAAGGTGTTGCCAACCTCATAAATGCTGGCAGAAATGGCTGGCACGATGCGCTAAAGCCAAGCATAGAGACGTTGCGGACAGGCATGTTCTTGAGCGATGAGCACGTGTATCCTCCTCGTACAAGGTCACCAAGGTTGAGATGAGACCTGGTATGACCAACCGTGGATCCCAGGTAGACAGAAAGTCCATTGCACGTAGAGAGGTAGGAGGAGCAGCTGCTGTCCACACGATAAGAAAAGCGCAGCGCTACGAGCAGGAAGCCGAGTATGTTGAGCGTTGGGGCGAAAATAAGATCGAGGTCGGGCGAGACCTTGGGTCGTAGAAGAGGGGGTCTGAAGCAGCAGCGGCGCGACCTACCATTGCCGCTAGCACTAGCAAACTTGATCTCAAAGATGAGAGTTGAGTCAATGTTGGAGTAGTTGCTGTTGTCACCTACACGCACAGGCATCAAGATGGACGCCATGAACAAAGTGCAGACGAGGCTGGCAAAGCCTCGAGCCCAAGGCTGAGACGATGGAACGCACCACTGCTCAAGACACCCGTGTCAACGGGATCATATGTCCAGCTGAGATGTTCATCCCCCGCCACAGAGCATCATGATCGAGCCGGAAAGATGAGCAAACGTTTGCGCCAGTGTCCAGAATTAAAAAAAAAAAAAAAAAACTACCTCCAGCAGGCTTCAGTTGCTTGGACAAACCTGTTGCAGCTGGTATCAGAGCCCTGACAGGTGATGAACACGCCATCTTCCACTTGATGAAAGTAACCATCATCAGCCTTGTTCTGAGGGGCCCGGGGACAAGAACATCAGACAAGCGCAACGCGCCCACGGGCACTTGGTTGTGGAAGGGCGGCCAACAAGGCAGGCGCACGAACAGAGGTCCATGTGACAAAGTCGGCCGAGTTGTAATGCAGGCCGCCAGGATTGAAATGGCCTTTGTCACAGGTTGCACAGGGATCATTTGGGGTCAGGCGCCCTTGGCCTGCCGGGCAGAAGCACGAGACACCATAACCCGAGTATTCATCCACGCTGCCTTCACAGGCTGTCAACTTATAGGCCAGCTGCGGAAAACACATGCGTTCGTGTCAGGGCGCCGATCAACAGGAAGATGATCGTCGTGAGTGGGGGTGATATCCTTCGGCATGATGGGTGCGTGGGTGCTGTTTCGCAAGCATGAGAAAGGAAGCATCTGAGCAGAGGAGGCGACGCCAACCTCATTGCGGACGGGGGGGTTGCCCTTGCATGCTGTGTAGACATAGCCAATGTCTTGGGTCGTGCATGCGACTGTGTGGACGGAGGGCAACCAGGTCAGCCCGGCCAGCACCAGCGGCAGCCAGCCGGGCAACCGTGGTGTGCGGCTAATGGCCTGTGTTGTAGATGGGCGCGCCATTTTGCCAAGCCCTCGCCAAAGCTAGGCACACGGCTGTGATGTGCTGCGTCATACACAGCCGGAACAGATGAGCCGGCTCACGGTTGACCATTGCGAGTTCCCCCCCCCCCAAAGGCGCACCGCATACCTGCACGTCGAGCCGTGGCTTCACTTTCTCAACCCATACAACCAACGATCCAGCCCAACCCTCAACCTCCACCGTGCCACACCCGCCCAGCGCGTCAATCCCTGCCGAATACCAACAACACCCGCGCACCAATTCGAATCAGATGCGGCATGCGCTCGCAATCCGCAAAAATAATGCTGGAGCCGTTTTTTGCTCTGTTTGTGTGTGTGTGTGTGTGTGTGTGTGTGTGTGTGTGTGTGTGTGTGTGTGTGTGTGTGTGTGTGTGTGTGTGTGTGTGTGTGTGTGTGTGTGTGTGTGTGTGTGTGTGTGTGTGTGTGTGTGTGTGTGTGTGTGTGTGTGTGTGTGTGTGTGTGTGTGTGTGTGTGTGTGTGTGTGTGTGTGTGTGTGTGTGTGTGTCTGTCTGTCTGTCTGTGTCTGTGTGTCTGTGTGTGTGTGTCTGTGTGTGTGTGTGTGTGTGTGTGTGTGTGTCTGTGTCTGTGTGTCTGTGTGTGTGTGTGTGTGTCTGTGTGTGTCTGTGTGTCTGTGTGTCTGTGTGTCTGTGTGTGTCTGTGTGTGTGTGTGTGTGTGTGTGTGTCTGTGTGTCTGTGTGTCTGTGTGTCTGTGTGTCTGTGTTCTCGATCTGGTCTCCCACTGCCTCGATGCTTCTTTCCGAACATCTCAACCCGTGCCTACTGCCTGTGCCTGTGTCTGTGCCCGCTGCTCCTGCTGACACTTGTCTCCAATACTCTAATATTCTGCTGGTATCGACTTGCATAGTCATCGGCATAATAAAAACAAATCAAGTTCCTGTAGATTATGATGCTCTAGGGTTATGGAAAGCTGATGTGATGGCGCCGGAGGACGCCGTTGCCACCACGCACAGGGATCAGAGCCTGGCTAGACAAAGGGTCGGGTTGGGCCTTTTGCAGTCCTTGGCCCCATCATGTTCGTTTATTGTCACAATCCGTCGAGGTGTGGTGGTCGGCGTTCGAAGCAGTTGTCTTAGGCCTGCCAGTTGGGCAGGCGATGCAGCTGGTGGCGGTAGATGTAGTCTTCCACTGGTCGAGGGATGAGGTACCGAACTGATCGGCCCTGCGCCAGTTGCCGGCGCACCGTGGTGGAGCTGATGGAGTTGGTGACCTGCATTGCAGACCGTGCATGTGAGAAAACATGCCCATCCACTCCTCAGGCCAACGCTCATTTCTGTGGTGTCATCGGTCGTACCGCGGGCGGAAATACGACAATGTTGGCTCGGTTCCGTGCCAAAACGTCTTGGCGGGCAATCACCTAAGGTCACACGCAACGCGTCAAATTTCGGTCAAGAACGGTCCAATCAAACCAATCGAGGGGGTGTGCTTTTCTCAAGTCGAGGCAAAGCACTATTGCAGTGCGCTTGGAAAAAAAATACAACCATAAGACGTTGGGGCAGGCAGCGGCGAGCGCACCTCGTCAATGTCGGTACCCTGGCGCTCAAGGCAGACAATGCCGTTGCGGGCAATGATGTCCTGGTGTGCCGGCTGCCAGAGAGGGCTGCCATCTTCCTTGATGGTCTCAAAAGAATCCAGTAGATCGGCGCCACACGTTAACATCACCTTGATGGGCTTGGGATGCGGGTCGCCGTGCTCATCGGTCAAAGCCACCGCCTGCAGAGCCCGCTCAAAGCGATCCAGGACCAATGCCGTCGGCGTCCACCCTGACTGTGCATTCTCCCAAACGTCGACATTGAGCCATTCAGAATCCTCGACCGCCAGCGCCGTCCTGTGGCCCATGTCCAAGTGTGCGAGGGTGAGAAATAGCGGAGCCTCACACCATTGGCTTTGAGGGTAACGTGGGAGTGCCGCCACGAAAGAGCGCGAAGCATACATGTTGAGACGATGGTGGCCCAAAGCCAGGGTCTTCTTGCCGTACTTGTCATGCGTGGGGGACAGATAGCCGCCGATGACATGCCGATGTCCCTGTGCAAGCCGGAGCCGAACCAAGTGCTGAGGAACATATCAAACCCTTGCCACACCCTTCCCCCGTTTCCGCGCGCTCTCTCCTCTCTCCTCTCTCCTCTCTCCTCTCTCCTCTCTCGTTGGTCAACACGGATAGGCAAAAGAGGCTTACTTGGGCATGCAATGTGTCACGGGCATCCTCAAGCAGCCGCAAATGCATCAGAGTCACAGGAGAAAAGGACCCACAGGCAATCAAGACGACGGGCTCTTTGTCGCGTGGGACCTAAGTGCACATGGTGTCCATTGGCCATGGCGGTCAATCACTGCTACGCTTCACCACAAAGGCAGCCATCGCGGCTCATCCAGGCGGTACCTGAAGCTCAAGCTTGCTCGTATCGATGGTGCTTTGCGATGACAAGCTCCGGCAGCTTTCAAGCTCTTGCCAAGGCATGATGCAGGTTCGACGCACGGCCCTCTGTCCCGTCGCTCCAACCCGCAAGGCGACCGTGCTCACCCCCCGGCGCAGCCACACAGCACAGCCAACGAGCTTCAACCCCTGCCACAACCCTCGCCCGGCCATCCGCCAGTCACCGCTTCCTGCCCTGAAACGTTAATGTAGTAAATAGTAAACTTGTTGTAGTCTTGCTCGCGTAGTAACGTCATTTTATGTTTTGAAATGAATGGTTATTGAAGATACGTAACTGACTTTTTGATGATCATGATAATGTAGCATATTTGGTACTTTATGAAGATTATATAACGTATTATATGAAAGTTAATGAGAGGGTTTTCGTACTTTATGTTGTCATCATTTCCATGCTGGCAAGCACCTTTGGCGCCGCGGTCGCCATCTGGCTACGTCTGGCAGCGCGCGACGGCTGGATTGCAGAGGAGATAGAGTGTGTGGTGGGGGGGTTCCCTTCGGACGCGGTGGACGAGGGTGGGGCTTTGATATGGTTGGGTCGTCTTGGTGAGATTCGGCTTGAAACTTTCTACCGGTTTGCATCGAGCACGGGCCCTTGAGACGCCCAGCCGCTGAACCGCCATGGCTGCCAAGGCGCGCGCCTTGGCCGTGTACGTGCACTGGCCATTCTGCTCTCGAATATGTACCTACTGTGATTTTGTCAAGTATCCAGCCATCAAGCAGCCGGCATGGTTTCGTGGGGCCGGTCGCGGGGCTGACCCAACGCACGATGAGGTGCTGCAGGCCTATCGGCGACAGCTGACACAGCTCGTACAACAGCTGCCAAGCCCCAACACTCAGCGACAGCTGACTTCTCTCTACTTTGGTGGTGGAACCCCGTCCCTCATGTCCCCCTCCCTCTTGCGTCGTCTCGTGGATCTGGTCTACACCATGTTTCCCCCTTCCAGCCACCCTGTTGAGGTACAAGATCAGCCGGTCACTTGCATCCAGTGCACCAGCTTTGAGCTCAACATGTGCGGGCACGTCGCTGTCCGGGCGCACACATAGATTACCCTTGAAGCAAATCCAGACAACATTACCCGTGACACCCTGGCTCGATGGCAAACAGCTGGCATCAACCGCCTCTCGGTCCGTGCATTCTTGGGGGCCGGCGCACACACCCATTTGATTGGCTCTCTTCGGTCTCTGTAGCACTTGTCGTTCCAACCAGACGCCGTATTCATGTACTACCAAATAGATTGGTGTTCAGGCCATACGGGACCCCCTGCTCCAAGCTCTTGGTCGCCAGCACTCAGCTGAAGTGGCACTGCGTGTTGTCAAGCAGGCACAAGACGTCTTTGGTTCAACGGGTGTCTCGCTGGATCTGTACGTCGCCCTGGCCCCACCCGCCAAGGAATCAGCTTGGATTGAGATATAGAGGGTCAACCTTGTCCGTCTCATCCCTAACGCGTGCCTCAGCATGTTTGGTCTTCCAGGCCAAGCGCTGGACGACTGGTGCACCGACCTGGACCATGTCTTGACCGAGCTCAAGCCTGCGCACATGTCCATCTACGAGCTCACCGTCAAGCGTGGCACCATCTTGTACCACCAGACCAAGTCTGTAGCTGCGCGTTGACATGCCTCGGACGCCACAGGTTGTCCGTTTGTTTTACACACACACACACACACACACACACACACACACACACACACACACACACACACACACTCGCCAGGACCCGGCTCACTCTATCATGACACCCTCAGGTTGGGCCTGAAAGTTCCAGATCCAGATGACTACTACTTTGCAACACAGGATATTTGCAGTGCCCATGGTCTCGAACGCTACGAAGTTAGCAACTACGCCCAGTCTCCAACCATGTTTTCGCGCCACAACATGGCCTACTGGCGTGGTACAGACTATCTGGGCATCGGACCTGGTGCCGTGAGTAAGTATACAGATGCCCACCCCTTCTCCTGCGGCGGTGTCTCTTTTCTTCCCTGAAGGCTGCAGCCGGCCTCGCGACGCGATGTGTTTTTAACTCAGCTTCTACGATTGATCTGGTTTCTCGTCAACTCGTGCTCTGTTACCAGGCCAAATCTATGTACCTGGCAGTGCCCTCGCCTTTCAAGCGCCAGCCAGTATTGAGGTCGGGTCCCTTGTTTTGCACCATCTCAATTCTGTGATTGTTCTGAACAGCTGAGCCAGGTACCAACAAGTGCACACATGCTTACTTACCCTGCGCGATGGCGATGGCTGCATGGCAACTCTTCGTCAGCGCTGGCGCCTAGACGGCATGGATCAAGCTTTGATCAAACGCACAATGGAGGAGGCCGTGACGGATATCGTGGTATGTACACATGACTTTTTCGGCACACAGTGAAGCTCCTATTTCGGCGACACTCCCTGACTGTGCATGTCTTTTTCTTCGTTGGTCAGGCCTTTCTGTGCCGTACGCGGGAGCCTTTTGATCTGGCCCAAGTTGCCGCCCATTTTGGTGTCAGCTTGCAGCCCAAGGCGCGCAAGGAGCTGCAGCAATTGGCGCAGGCAGGCTTGCTCGAGTACTCTGAGAAAATCCAGCCTACAGCCTGGGCATCACGCTTCAACCAACCCATCACTGAAGCCGGCCATTTGCCAGCCAGCATTCGGCTCACGGGCAAAGGCTTGGATGTTTGTAACAGGCTCAGCACAACCGTGGCCGAGCTACTCTTGGTATAGGGCCCGAAATTTTAGTCAGGAAAGTACAAGAGATGCATCAAGTTATCAATTTCAAGATGGGCGGGTCCTTGCGCTCTGCACCCAATGGCACCGCCAAGCAGCAGAAGAAATAAAGTGAAGCTCAAAAAAAAAAAAAAAAAAAAGAGAAAGAAATAAGGGGTGGAGACGAAGAAAGAGTCAATCCACAAACACACCTACAACGCCGAGCAGCTAGCCGGGAGGAAGACAACCACAGTTACAACATTGCTAAGGCTCAAAGCCATGCCAGAGCGCAGCACACGCTTAGAACACGAAGGGACAGCGAAAATAAACAAGACGATCAAAGCAAAAACACTCTCAAGTACACACAGGGGAGGCGCGTGGCTTGGCCACGCATTGGGTCGAGTCTGGCAATCGAGTTTGTAGAGAGCACATGCCCAGAAATGACAACAGCAGCGAAAATCGACAGCGGGTCGCAGGACAGGGCGATCCGCAAAGGTCGAGGCGTCCAAGGGCCGTTTAAGCGCAGGTGCATGCACGACGAGATGGGATCAAAAAAACGGGTGGGGGAGCAAAGCGCCTCGAACAAAGACCAAGGAGAACACGAAAATACAACCAAGCCTAAAAACCGCTGGCCAACGCAAGGTCAGCGGCGGGTCTGAGCTGTTATGAGCTGTTGACAATGGGCATGAAGGACTGGGGCATGATAAAGACCGGGGGAAAATTGCCAGTGCTGGAGCTGGCAGGCATGGCTCCAGCCATGGACATGGGCATGGCAAACTGGCCATCCTTGGGGTTGCCCGCGTTGGGCATGCACATGGTGGGCCAGGCATAGAGGGGCATGCCGTTGGGCATGAAGGAGGCGGCGCCCGAGAGCATGGCTTGGGCCATCATGGACTGCATTTGCGGAGGCATTTGCGCGAGCGAGGCCATTGAGATCTGGGCGGCAAGTTGTTGTTGCTGCTGTTGATTCATCATCATGGGGTGTTGTGGCTGTTGAGGCATTTGCTGAGGCATTTGTTGCGATTGAGCGGCAAGTTTCTGCTGCTTGTGTTGGTCCGAGGCGGCGGAGGTAGCGGAAACCGAGGCCGGTGAGGCGGTGAGGGCCGGGCTGTTGCTGTTCTCTGAGTGGGCGTTTGAGGCGAGACTGTTGAGCAATTTGCTGGCGCTGCCGCGTTCGCGACGCTTGCAAATTTCGTGCAGGACTTGATAGACACAATCCTACCATGGGGTTGATGACCAAGCAACATGGGTATAAGTGAGAGAGGTGAGCGCGGTAAAAAGGGAACCACCGCAATGGATCAACAAAAGGTGATGCGGGCGGAGGGGTACGTACTTGGACGGGTCGGGTGGGGGTGGCGGCATGGAGTTCACGATAGCGATTGAGCGACTTTTTGGCCTTTGTGGGCAAGAGGTCCTCGCGCATGAACCAGCGGGTGCTGTCGTCGGGTTTGTAGAAACAGGGAAGGCCACTCAGGCAATGACGGATGCCGTTCTTCCAATTCTTACTGTGAGCGGGAACCGAAGAGCAATGTGTGGTGGTGAGGTGGCGTGCTTGGGAAGATGAACAACGCAAGTCGAACGAGCGGGGATGCTGTGGCGTACCGCTGGCAAGCCGGCACAACTTCGCGGTACGATTCCATAAAAGCGTATATTTGCTTGGCGGAGAGGCCGTCTTGGCTGGCCTTGGGCAGGCACTCGAGGGCGAGGCTGATACAGATGGCGTAGGACGGCATGATGCAGGCTCGGCCAAGGCTGTGCTCTTCTGTGGAAAAAAAATACGAAGAAAGGAGCATACAAAAATGAGAGAAAGACGGAGTCACGAAGGGTGTGAGCGTGTGTGTGAATGATGCCCCAAGAAGGAGATGTGGGTGGGGGATTATCCCGAAAGCCTCGGGAGGAGTTTGGGGGAGTGAAGACGGCGACGGCGGCTGAGGTTGGGCCATCAAGTGTTGCTGACATAAAACAGAATAAAAAGTCGAAAAAAAATGGCATATGCACCACGACACACACACACACATACACACTTGTTTTTACGACAAAAGGAAGGAGAGAAAGTAAGACCATGATTGAAAGGGACAGGTGGCTCCGCGGCGTTCTGGTTACATGGCATTATGACAGCACCAACGGCACCAGTCGGTTGGGTTGGGTTGCTTGGTGGATGGGTGTTGCGAATTGCCAATGGTGCCAATGGTGCCATCCACTATCCACCAAAACCCCACACGCTTTTCAAAGCCACCGAAATGTGATACTGAGCCAAAGGACGGAATCCACGCATTGGGAGGGCAACGAAGAAATAGAACAAAAAAAAGGAATAGAACAAAAAAAATAGAACAAAAGATGTGGTGGTGGTGGTGGTGGTTTGATGATGGGACTCGTTGGCTCGTTGATAGAGGAGATGGCAGCGGGTGAACAGGGCAGAACAACAACAAGGCTTTACCAATGCTTAAGTGTACACACACAGGAAGGGATAGAGTGTAGAGTGACGGGGCGTGATTAATCGGGGGTGGTGAAGGGCGGTGTGCGAGCGGCGCTGCCGTATGCATGCGCGTCCTCAAAAAAAAAAAAAAAAAGGAATGAAGATGGAACACTTACCACTCGAAGGAATGTGCAAATGTGGGGGGTCAGCTGTCGACAAAGGCCGCGTTCAAGAACCACGTTCAAGCCGGGTAGTAAAGGGCAGTCGAGGAGGATAGTGCCGCCGTGTCGTCGACGCTGATCAAACGAGCGGCAAACGGGACCCGATGGCACGTTCAAGCCGACAACGACGCAAAGCAAAAGCAAACGCACAAAAAAAAAAAAAAAAAAAGCACACACCAACTAAGGATGGGATTCAACGAATCGAGAAAAATGAACCAAACTCTCATCAACGATCAACACAAACAAAGCAGAACGCGTGTGTGTGTGTGGTGTGAGTATGTCGAGGATGAGTGGGAAGCGGTGAAAGGAAATGGCATGCAAAGGTGAGACGCTGCGTCATCAGCATAAGCAAGCCTGAGCCAACGACCGTCAAGGTAGCGGGGTAAATGACGGAAACGCGACCGCAACTGGACCCACACCCAGACCCACACACGAAGAGAAAGGCACCAGAACAGTGGAAGAACCAGAGTGGGGGTTGCAGAAGAAGAATGAAAGAACAAAAGGTGACGACAGTAGCAATGAGGTAAGCAACCTGACCGTGACCGAACCAACAGTACTGCTTTGAAGTGTAGATTGGCTTGTTGGTGGAGGGGGGGGACAGCAATGCAGCCACCATAACAAGAGTGGGAACAAAGCAGGTGACATGGGGGTAGATCAGGCCTGTGGACCATTGTTCAGGTAATATTCAAAGCATTTGCTCTTGATTTGCATTTGTGTGACACTCTGCTGTAGTGGGTGACTCGTGGCATACATGAGGAGAACTGTGTGTGTGTGTGTGTGTGGTGTGCGTCCTCTTGAACCCTGGCTGCCCCGAGCAACGGACAGGCACGCACGTTCGTGCGCATGGTCGCTCGAGTGCCAGGAGTCAGAGTCAGAGCATTTGGTTTTGAATCAGGATGCCACGTTGGTCAGTGTCCCTTCTTGCCGAGGCAGTCGTAGATTGCCAACGTGAATGTGGCACAAACCACATGGGCAGCGCGAACTCGCATGGACGCAACAATGCAGCAAAGCAAATGAGGTCACACTACAAGGAAATTAGACACTACCACTCATGATGGTTAACTGTTATGTCCCTCCTTTCTATTCCCACGGTTGTGGATTTGTGGCTTGGTGGTTGCTTGCGGGGTGGGGTAGATCATGAAACAAGGTCAAGGTGGGGTGTAAGGGTAAAAATGGGATTTGATGGGTGATCACCAAAGGTGCAACACACAATACACATACTCACCTACGGTTCAGGTTCAGTCGGGCGATATGCTTGTTAGCGTATGGGTATATGGGTAATTGCACCGCCCTCCAAGAATCCAAGGACAAACGAGTCGCGTGACATCATGTTGCAAGCCCAAACGTCGTGGTGTGGCGGTCAAGATACATACATGGCCATGCCGTCCACGCCTCCCGTCACATGACAAGTCGCCTTGCATGCAGAATTAGAACACACACACACACACAAAAAAAAAAAAGACCACTGGTTGAAAGCACGAAAGCAAAGCAAGCCATGGTGCCGACGCCGAGTCGAAGCACCGAACTTCAGGCCGAGAGCATGTGAGTAAGCCACAACTGGCATACACCACCACCCCCACCACCACCACCAAGTCAGGCCAAACCCGGGAGGAGGAGGAGCAGGAGCGGACGAGACGGCTCGCATCAAGCAGCCACAGCGCGAGCGCCATCTAAATGGACATGGTCAAGGAGAAACCAGGAGCGTCAAAGACAGAGGGAGAAAAGTTGGGACAAAACGTCCAGCGTGAGCAATCACGTTGGGGAGGCAAAGAAGCGCGTGTGATGATGTGTGAAGCAAGATACGTGATGTCATTCCACCCCACCCAAGGCGAAAGGGGTGTGACTTACAAGGGAAGGGACAAGCGCCGTTGGTGCGCCGTTGGTGCGCCATTGGGGTTAGTCAGTCAGTCGCGTGCCTGAAGAAAGTCGAGAATGACAGGCGGTGAATACGACCTGACCAGAACGGCATATGCGGGACAAGACGGTTGTTGCTTTCTTCTCTTGGTGTCGTTTTTTTTAAAGACTTAGTTTACACATACATGAAGCAAGATACTCAAAGTCACCACGCGCGTAGCAGTAATGGTATACGCATAGCCAAAACGAAGTTTAGCAATGGACAGATGGTGAGTGTCCTGTTAAGGGCTCAACAGCCCCCAGGGTTCTCTCGCCTAACCGTTGAAGGCATGTGCACCAAGCACGAGCACCTTTGGGGGAGGCTTGGCGAAGTGGGGGGATACGGGGGGGGACCTACCACCTGTCCCAAACCGATGGAAAAAAGTGTTCTTCCTTTTTTTCCTTTTTCCAACAGCAGCTGGAAAAAGGTCTTTTACGTGTTCTGTTGGACTCTTTGCGCTTGTGCGTGCACCTACCTGTGAACCTGTGTCCTGTGTGCTTGTGCCCGTGGTGCCTCGGCGTCTCGGAGTTGCGCTCGTTCCGCGACCCGAAGCAGCAGGCTGCCGTCTACGCGCTTGAATAGATGACTATCCTCCATTCATGTTGTCTCTTTCTTTCTTTCTTCTTTCGACGGAACGTTTGGTATTTGAACAACGTGGTTCGCTACCCCGAGCCAACCCATCCCCCAAGTCGGAGGGACAATTTCACATGCGCATAACACATCACGTAGTCGATCGTGACATTTGATTGGGTTTGGCGCGGGACAGCTAGACTGTCCCTGTTCCCATATCGGACGTGCAGCCACGCCATCCAGGCGCGCCACCCACACGTTTGGGAGTGGGGTTTCGGATTGGGTTTTGTCCAGACTTTGGTGCAGCGTGGGTTTAGGTTGTTGCACGCTGCTTGCCCACTCTGATGCTTGAACAAAAGGAGGACTCACATGGCCACCTGTTGATTCAACGACCGACGCATACGACCACCAACCTTTGCCTCCCCAACCTCGATGTCGAGAGAGAGCGCGCCAGTGGCCACACGGCCGTGATGATGACGGCAGCGCTGGACGTGATGGCAGTGATGGCAGCGCTGGACCTGATGGCAGTGATGGATGTGATGGCAGTGGACGTGATGAGCGCTGAACGGGATGGCAGCGCTGATGATGCCAGTACAGTATTGATGTCGCGCGAGCAGCTGCTTGAAGTTTGAAGCTTCAGCCCTTTCTTGGACAAGCGGTTCTTCTAAGACGTCAAGCCGGCGCATTCTGCTATGGCCTTGGGTCGATCGCTGCCGTGGCTTCGGGTCTGAGACCCCAGCCCTCGACGCTTGGCCATCAGTCGTGACAGACCGCCACGACAACAGCGGTGCTGCTCGACGACCTGGATTCCTCTGTTCCTCTTCGCTTCATGTCTGGTTCAGACACCTTCATCAACGCCAGTCCTGCTCGGCTCCTCCTCGTCCATGATGTCGTCATGCTCAACCCCCACTGGCTATGACACGTCAATTCATGTGCTGATGCCTTCTGCGATGGCCAACATGCTCGACTCCTTCAGATTCTAGCCAGCTCTTGCTCACGCCCGCCTATTCGACAGCCGCGATCGTGAGAAAGACGGCTGGCAACTTGCTCCAAGTGCTGCCCGACGACCAACTGATGCACAAAGCTGCAAAAGGCTGCCAACCCTTGAACAAGACCAAACCGACCTGAGCTAATTAAAAAGGGCCGAAAGGCGGCCGTGCGCACACATGAGTAGACCAGCGCCACGAGATGCCAACGCTGCATGTGCCAGACCTGACAAGCCAACCTCCTACACACCACCTACCCCGTCAGAGAACATGGTGCACCAACGATTGCCCAACAATACAAGCAGCCACTGCACAGCAGCCCCTCCCGTAAACAGGCATACACGTACCGCGTCCAAGTACCATGCGGGCGCGGCCTTGTCTTGCTGCCCAAGTCGTCCTAGCTGCAGGCTGTTTGCACCCCCCAACGCCATCATCTGCCAGCCAAAGTCAGAGGAGGCAGGAGGTCAGGAAGTCAGGCCCCAGCGGAGACGGTAGGGGCCCATTTAAGCTCAGGCATACTTTGGAGCAAGCATCCCGGAGAAAGAAGCGGGCTCGAGGCAGGACTGTCGTAATGCCGCTGCGCTCGGGCTCTTGCGTGGCTCGATGCAAACTCCACAACACCGTGTGGCGCCCATTGGTCGATAGCAAGGTCTCTCGTCCCGATTCCCACGCCAACATGGTCACCCCAGTATGGGCGTCTACAACCGACATACCAGTGAGCCTTGCATAGCATAAACACGCGCACACACAGGCGCACACACACACACACACATTCCTTGCCACATCATCCTACGTGACCATCCATCGAGCACCTACCACGCGCCGTCGTACGATAGCACCCACTTGAGCGCTCAAACTCGCGCGCCACGTGACATGTCAAGTCAAGAACCGGCATCTCGGGCCAGCGCGCATCCAACACATGCAGCCCTGTCTCGGTAGCCACCGCACCAAGCGCGGCATGATCTGGGTGCCGGGCACAGGCCCGGGCCGAGCCCGTCGAACCGCAATGCACCCGCGCCACTGGCGTGGTGCCAGAACGCAAGTCGTACACATACACGTGTGCCCCCGCAGCCCACCACACTTCTCGTCCATCACGCATGTCCACAGCCGCTACCTTGGCCGGGGACTGTGACAATGACACATCGCCCTCGCCGTCGGCAAGCTGTGTTGGCGCCACCAAGGCTGGGCCAGCCGGTGCACACACCCCAAAATCAAGAGGCACCCCGCCTCGATCTGACGTGAGTGCCAATGCCGTCGCCCCCTGAACCCCCTGAACCCAGTGGCCCCCAGGGCGGCTCAAGCAAATGCCCGTCGCTCCAATCGACAGACCGGCCAGGGACTGGGCACGCCAGCGCTGGCTTGATACGTTGTCGTCTTGCGAGAAAGCTTCTGCGATGCGCAGCACCGCCACCTGGCCCAGGTGGTCACACGTGACTGCCCGACAAACCCCTGCGCAGCGCCACATGATGCAAACACCCGCGATAAGCGTAAGGCAGCGGCAAAGCTTGTGCTGGCAAAAGGGTGCACGTTATCTGCATACCATGCCCAGCCTGCAGAAATTCAGCCTGATGCAACATTTTGAGGCGCGATAGCCCAAGCACAGGCTGGGGATCGGCGTCGGCCAGCGCGCAGAGCCGAGCACGCTCGGCGCTCTGCACCCGGCAAGCCCACCCTTGTGCCTCGCCTCGCCGCCCCATCGTAACTGGTGGTCGGTGGCCTTGGCCACAATCAAGGCGTCGACCGTTGCATCCTGCAAACTCTGCCCTGACCCTGCGCACACGTCCTCGCTCCGCCGGTAGCCACCCTTTTGTGACCCTGCTTTGCACGGTCGTTTCTGCACCCGCGCGGCGCTTTTGACCCGGTCGAGCAAGAAGAAATGTAACGGCTAGTTTTTTTGGTTTTTTGCCTTTTTTTTTTCTTTTTTCTTTTCTTTTCTTTGTTGTTGGTTTCATTTCTCGGCTGTTCTGTGAGCTCATATGGGCGTTGTTTCGGCGGGAGCGGGAACATGATGGATTGATAACATGAAACGTGGAGTTGAAGACGAGAGTAGCACGCCATGGGGCGATGAGAGAGCGCTCGTTGGGCGCTTCCAACCTCAGGACTGAGACCATTCTTTCAAAAGATTTTACTTTTTCTTCTTGCCACCCTTCTTCTTCTTGCTTGATTTGGCACTCTTCTTCTTGTCCTTGTAGGGCCCCATCTTGTGCCGCACCAGCAGGCCCCGCCACCAAGCCTGGATCCGAATCGCAGCCGCCAACTCCTTGATAGCTCTAAGAAAGCCAGTTTTTCACCAGCGATGTCGCAACGCATAACAAGAGGCAGTGAGGCTAAACCTGAAGCACTTGGCTGGCTGGTAGGTCAATGTTTGAGCTGGTGCACATGGCGGCGCGAACCGTTCAGCCGCGAGGCGCATTTTCTCCTTTCGTTGCAGATCCTTTTGCACAATCTTGTTGTACTCGTTGTAGCGTTCGGTCAGCTCCTGCAAGCTATTCAGATCCTTGGCCTGTGCCGCGCGCTGATCATCAAGCTCACCCTGCTTGGCAACTGTGTCTGCTTCTGACTTGTTGGTCCAATCTTGCAACTAGGGTGATGGAGTGATTTATGCGGTCGTTGTCAGCCAAGCAACACGAAGCGTCGGTTCTCCAAGGTCGTGGCCATGAGAACTTGACCATCAAGTCAACAAACGCAGGGGCACTGGCCTACCTTGTTCTTGAGATCGCTGTAAGCCTTTTGCAAAAAGCTCTGTACCTCGGCAGACACGGCTTGCTCTTCCTCGAGTGCAGTGGTCAGCTCGCGAAGCTGCGCCTTGAGTTCAAGAACCGTCAATGTCGTCTTCTTGCCGGCCATTTCCACCTGGAGGTCTGATTGGCGGGTAAGGTAATCGGCTTCCATGCCGAGCCGCACACGTGTGGCTTGACATTCGTCTTTGAGCTGAGCAATTAAGCTATTATACTCTTGAACCTGTCGCACGTGGGATTCTTTAAGTTGGGCAATGCTGGCTCGCAGCGTCTTGATGCGCTGCCGTGCTTCCTGCTCGCGTACAATCACCGCCGCCATTGAAGCTTGCTTTTGGCGCTCCGCTTCAATCTGATCCACCAGAGGCTACAACGCACGTGGAATGATTGGTTATGCAAAGCCATGTGTTTGTTTGTTTTTTTCTTACTCTGGTCTTTCAAAGAGCAAGCAAGTCTGGTTTCAGGCCCACACACACACACACACACACACCGATTACACAAGCCAGGACAACGGGCAGGCGGGAAGACAAACAAGCAACACTAGGAAGCCCAGGCACGCAAGCTTGAAAGCCCCTGAAAAAGTATATCGCCCAATCCGATGTTTACCTGACAGGAGGGTGCTTGAGTTCGAAGTCCATCGAGGAGTTGCTCGAGCGCCAACTGTGCAAACTGGCGATCATTTTGAAACTTGACCATCGCATTGCCAGAGGCATTGGTCATGCGTAGCGCAGCGCACAGAGAGGACGTCGATTGCTACCATTTTCATGCGCAAGTAGGTGGCGAGGCATGTGCAAAACGGGTGAAGAAGTCGCAAACGTTCAGACACACGCACACCCGCACGCACATTCACACGCGCGAGGCTCGAACACTCAACAGTGCCGTGGAGCACCTGCACCAGGGTGAGAGATATACCTTGAGGGCCTTGGCAATGGCACGCAGTTTATCGTCATTGGCGCGCAGTAGCTCAACGTTGTGGTCTTGCTGCAACTGGGCCCGAACCCCTAGAACCTTGTCATACTCCAATTCGAGCTCGCGCTGGCGGGCGATGATCTCTGAGATCTCATCGCCCACCAACACGGTCGGCGTCGGCCCACCACCCGCGCCATGGGCTCGACTACCCAGTCCACTCAGAACGGCTAGCTGGTCGATGGCATCCTCCACAAGGGGCTCCAA